GATGAAAAAGGACATAACCTTTATATAGGAAATTATTAAGCCGTTCATTACGTGTTAAACTCTAATTAGGGTTTATATATATTTTCGACCCACAAGCTTACTTCATTCTCACTTGACCTCCGTTTGCTTGTGAACCCCTACAAAGAATTTGCAATATGAACACTAGCTCCAAAGTCTAACCACTAAGAATTCAATGGCACATCTCCAAAGGAAAACTCAAAACAAACTAAAGCCAAGGATATACCTGCAGAAGTCTTCTTCTTTTCTAATCAAATCTTAAACTTAAAACAATCTTTCTGCTAATGACCCTTCTTTTTGCATAATTTGCATTGATCATTCTTCTTTATAATTCCTTTGGGACTACCAAAAGTCTAACTATCAAAATTTTTATTGTGCTGATTTCGATGTGACTTATTACCCTTACAGAACTTAGACTTATGATTATGCAAAGACCCCTTGTTCTGTAATGACTAAAAAGTTAATTGCACAGTTTCAACAAACTCACGCTGCATCCTATACTCTTCTTAGGCACATACTACAATTAGGTCATTTAAATCCCATTTATACCGTTGATCATTGTAAACATCCTTAAACTGATTGAATTGGTTAGGAAGGCTATTTAAAACGTGATAGACTAGGAAAGGTCCTACAATAGAAATGTAAGAGCCTTCAGTTTAGATGGTATATTTATCATCTTCATAACGTACTCCCTAACTCCATTTGTACAATCATATCTCATATTCATCAATTTGTTCATCAGATCTCCAGTTTCAACTTTATCAGACTCAACAAATTTCTCTTTTATGGCATCCATAAAATCTTTGACATTTTCATTGTCTGGGATAGCATCCACAATGGTCAGATATAGAGCGCTTAATAATTTTCAAACAAAATTTGTTGACCATTTCTCACTTTTCATACTCGACTACATATTCAAGAGTGCTCTTATCTGTGGATTTCGAAAGCTTTTTCTTCATTGTAAAATCTAAGCCCAAAAGATCAAATGCGATTTCTACATCTCGTTTCCATTGATAAATGTGTTTTTACACACTTATTTAGTATGTGAATATGATTATTATTGATGAATTGAATTGAATTGAATTCTACTCACAATTATGCAATATTTGCTTTTGTAGGCCACAAATCACATAATGAAAGATAACAAAGCAAAAGGAGGAAAAAAGGACTAAAAGTGTGCAATTTTGTGAAGCGGGGGACCAAAATGCAAAAGGGTCGAAAGTTCAAGGACTTAGAGTTACAATTTTGGAGGGCAAAATTGAAATAAAAGTCAAAATTCGAGGACCAAATTTGTACAAGTTCAAAGTTGAAGAATCTAGCGTGCAAATATGAAGAGGACCTGAGCTGCAAATAAGGAAAAAAGGGATGTGGCACTGTAGCGACACCACAGCGCCACTGTAGTAACGCTGCGACGCGACGCCATGTCTCTATCCACAATGGCGTTGCAACGCCGCGACTTCATGCCAAGACCTGTTTAGCTGGATTTTTAATTGGGGACCAATTTACAATTAACCGAACACGATTTTTGGGTCTTTTAAAAGGCAAATTCAACCATTTTCTCATCATTCTTCATCTTGGAAATAAAATCCTAGCCTCTCTTCTTCTTAGTTTTCTTTCTCTTTTCTTTTAGTTTTCTTTTTCTTTCTTCTTCCTTTTTCTCTTCTTTTTCTTTTCTAATCCTTGATACTTTTGGGAGCAAATCATAGAGCACAATAATATTCAATCAAAGGATTTGGCAAGATTTTGGAGAAATCAAAAGCAAGCAACTTCATCTTTAAAAATCCAACAAAAGGGGATTTTATCTATAATCTTGTATTATTTCTATTATTTTGTCAAACTTGCAACGTATTATGTATAATATTCTCCTTTTATTCATATATATAGTATGGGCTAATTACTTGAGTTGGGATTTATGATAGTAATTTAACTTAACTTTTAATTGATTTTAATATTTGCCCTTTAATGTTAAATTATTTATTTCCATGTGTTTCAACTATAATATTTATTGCATTTTCATTTATATGGTCAATGAATAATATGTTTAAGTTTGTGTAGGAGATAGAGATATATTCCTAGTCCTAGGTGACCCATTGAGCTATTTGCACAAATATTTAATGCAATTGTTTGGTTTTAGTCGACATAGAGATATAGCAGGTTAAACCAATCAATTAGGGTTAATTTCGCTCGAGAGAGGCAATTAACTAAAATTGGAAGATCGGGTCTAACATAAGAAATGAGTAATTTGTTAATTGGCAAGTGGAGAAATTAATTAGGTGACGATTAAACGAAACCATAAATCCCAACCACGTTCTCTTTCGAAATTTCCAAGATTTTTATATTTTCCTATTTCTTATATTTTTAGTTATTTTTCAAAATCTAAATATTTATTGTATGTTTGTTTCTTTCTATTGTTAGAATTAAATTAATTAAAGTTGTGTAATCGAAAGTATACATTCCTTGAGAGATCGACAATCCGGACTCAAAATGTTCACTTTATTACTTGAACGTGACCCATGTGGTTACAGTGTAGTATTTTAGCGAACATCCATCTCACATAATTATTGTCAGTCAACGTTTCAATACCAGACAACTGACTAGAAAGAGATGAGGCATTATAAATTGTAGAAACATAAAATATCATATTTAATATCATCCAAACATAATGCACAGAATCGATGGATGATAAAATATCCATCTAATTAACATGGACTGTTAATTAGATCATCCATAATTAAAATCAAAACCATATGAATTTTATTAAGGTAAGAGCCTAAATGCATCATTATAAAGTCACATTTGGGCGGATAATACAACATGTTGTAAGGTATTCTTAAAACACATCATGAAGTTGATAAACAAAATTACATTAGTCTTCGAAACACCAACTCCTTTGGGCAAAAGAAAATTTCTAAACCAAAATAAACTCGTTAACCGTCTTATGTTAATAACACCTTTAGGCAAGATAATATATGCAATAATTCAAAATTGCGGCACTAATTTTTTTTCAGTTTTTATTTTTTTGGTAGAGAAAACAAAATAAATAATAATGAGTATGCCACTTGAACAACTACCACCCATTTTTATTTCAAAATATTTCTCCCAGTAAGAAAATAAAGTCCGTCTCAAAACCCATGAAAAAATCCAATCATAAAACAATAACTATATTCCAAATCATAATCATCAATCAATGAAGGACAAATATTCATATGTGATTGAAAGACAAAATTGGCAACAATATTTCAATATATATGAAAAATGAAATTTAAGCAGAAAAGTAATAGCAACATTTAATATATAAACATTTTAACGAAAATATAAAAATCGTCAATCAAATAATCATTATTATATTTTTTTTATATATAATTTTAAACGGCTCAATATTAAATAAAATTTTAATTGTGGTCAAAATTGAAACAATTGAAATTTTAGGGTCAAACCTTTTAAAAATCCAATTTAAAACACCTTTTGAAGATTGCAAACTGACCCATTTTGAAATTATTAACAAAGCCCTCAATTATTTCTAATATTTCATAAAATCCCCTTATTTAATAATTGCACATTGAACTCGGAATCAAATATTGCAGATAGGGCCCCACAATTACACAAATTGCATGTGAGAGCCCCGCCACTAAAACGTCCACCCGTTTTTTGAAAAACCTAGGACCATAGAAGAATTGGGGCAGCAACGATTATCGGTCCCGCTTCTTCCTTTTGCTGTGAGAGTCGTTGTTCTCAGATGACGACATCTAGCAACCTATAGTAGCAGAGTTTGGTTCGCACTGCTATTGCAGCTATGCTGCAGCCACCTCTCACTTTCGCAGATGTCACTACGAAGTCTATTGTCACCTCTAGACGCGCAGCAGCAATCCTCGATATACCTCCACCAATAACAATGACCAAAGGCAATGGACCATGTTGCTTGCCAACATGAGAGGTATACATGTCTTAAAAGATGCATGTAAAAGCATACAGTGGCCGCCGTCTCTTGTACAATCCAATTTTTTATTTTCCTTTTTTTTTTAATACATAGGGCAAATTTTGGAAAAACAATCAAATCCAATGAGAAATTCAAAATTCAAAGAGACAGATGGTAAGTGGCAACGGCGTGGCCAAACTAGGTTTTCCCTTTTGATTTCAAAACATTGAAAACTTAATAATTTCAGAACTTTGAATTGACAGGTAGTAAAAACTTTAGAATTATTCAGTCGAAAATAGAAAAGGAATATTAGTTTTATGAAAGATTCTAATCTTAGCATTAGGTTTTGATACTAATTGTTGAATTTAACAATAATCATGCTAAGAAACAAAACTCACAAAATTAGAAATTTATAAATCGAATTCATACTTGCATAAGATATTGTGGATATGAATAATAGTAACCAGATCTTTCCCTCCTTGATCCTCACAATGTATTAATCATCAATGAGACAAACTAATAAAAACAATATGGAGATGAGAGGAGACTTAACATTTAGATAGGAAATTATTAAGTCGTTCCATTACGATTTAAACTCTAATTAGGGGTTATATATATTTCCAGCCCACATACTTTAAATTACCACGTTATATAAAATATAACCCATAAGATGTAAAACAATCCAATTGATCACTTAATATATTTGACCCAATCACAATATTATTATGAATCATACATTTAACCTGTAAAATTTACAATCAAATGTGAAGCCCATACATAGAATTATTCTAAAACTTCATGCAGTCTACCCACAAATTTATTGAAAAATCTTAATATAATCACTTGCTGATTACCGACCTTCCCAACACTTCCCTTCATTAATTCTTCAATGCATCTTAAAAGGGAACAATAGTATTCTTGATGGACCAAGCATTATGATACGTTAAGCTTATGAGATACTCGAATTCTCTGCTTCGAGAGATTGTCAGAGATCCATAAAATACAGTAGAGAATGTGCATTGAGAGATGCAATGAGACTGGCATTTCAATAAAAGAAGTGAAATATTTAGAAGTTCTAAACAAAAAATTACTGGTTCATCAATTCAAACGTTACAACCATAAGAAATTCTTAAGCATTCTACATTCATAGATATGCCAGTACTGCAATATTATAAACATATGGCATAATATAGTTAAAACATTGTCTTCAAATCTACGGGAGTGCACTGGACTCCGAGTGCCCAGGAGGAGGAGCAGACCACGGGATATATGGCATCAGAGGAGTGCCATGCTGGATAGGTCCAGGTCTTACAGAAGCCTTTGAACTTGGAACTGGATCAATTGGACGGTAATCTTCCAAACTTGCATTGCCCGCATCATCTTGATCAGAGGGTGGAGTCTTGTAATTCTCCTGCAAATTGTAAGGAGAAATATGAACCAGGTTATATTCTCGTCAATACCTTGCAATGTCTCTCTTAATTGAAGAGGACAAGGCCATGACTATTCAAGGTCATTGGGGAAGCTTAGGTAGAAAGGAGATCAGAACCACACCACATATATTTCATACACAATACCTTCTATCTTAAGAAGTTTAGCCTCAAAAGCCTTCCCGTGTTGATCAGAAGTCAGTCTTCTTTGGTAAGATGGAATTGGTAAGAAAAGAGAATGATCAACCAGAACAATAAAATGTACCCAAATAAATTTCTCCCCTCTGACAGCTTAAATTTTATTGAGTGCGTTTGACGTGGCATCAAAATAGGGAATGGTCTTCTGTATTCAAGTCTCACTACAAGCCAATTATGAAAATTCGACGTGTCATGCTGTGGATGGAAAACTAAATCTATTTGCAAGTGACTGTTCAAGATATGAATAAATAAATTGCTCTCATGTGTAACCACTTGAATTCTAGATGAGGCGATCTAACAAACAGAACCTTATTGCATTTTTATTTTCTTTGTCAAAAATATCTTGCAGTCTCTTTCTTAATTCAAGAGAATACGAACATGAAAAATCAAGCCTATTATGAAATCTTACGCCTAATTTTAACTATATACACTACAGTTATATGGAGCTAAGCATTTAGGCCATTAAGTTGAAACCACATGTACCTTAAGTTTCCTGCTTTTCACGGACAATGTCTCAACATTCCCATGACGTACAGAAACCATGCCTGCAATCATCAATTCATAGGTTATTAATGCAGTGTAATGCCAGGAAAATTTATTTAGCAAAATTTACAGTATCATGTTAGCAATTCGTATTATTCACACAACATTTGGAATTCAAAGATGTAACCTGCCTAGTAGTAAAATATAATCAATTGAAGAGACTAGAAACCAGTTATAATAAAACATTACTATCTTGCCAAAGTCCATCCAATAAACATAAATCAATGCCATTACATTAGCAGCAAATTCAGAACCTAGAAATTAGATTTTCAGCTACAGCTTGAATTTAATTGAACAGAGAAAAATAGCTTGAAATGAGGTTCCTGCCAGAATCCACTAAAAATTTTTAGTAGGCCTACAGTAACTTAGCAAAACAAATTGTGTTACATCCCTTATTTCCCAGGGATCGTAATTTAATTAGTCAGATTACCATTCAGTCAAGACAAACGGTTTTCAAGTCCCGTTAGTCCCATCAGATACAATAAATACATTTTTTCCTTTCAATCAAAGGGTATTGGAGGGCAAAATTGAATGTTCAATGCAAAGGGTTGACTATGAAGCAGCATTGTCTAAACTCAAATCAAATTTACAAAAATGTCAATAACCATTGTAATCCATCAGGTTTATGAGCAGAAGTAAAGGCTTAAACTGTTAGATGAGACAAATTTATCTATTTAAATTTTGACCACAACTCATCCCCACACATGCAAGTTGGATTATTTTTATAGAATTTTCCATAAGTGGATGGTAGTCAGACTACAATCTAGCACCTATATAAGCTCTGATACAATGTTAAATCACCTAATATACTTGTCAACTGTGAAGTAAATAATCAATGACCAAGATGTTTGCCCAGGCTCAATTTCTTCCTTTTTCCAACACCACAACCAAACAACCGACACAAGACACTCCCAAGCTTTCCCACTTACGGTTACCAACATAATAGCCACTTAGGAAACCACAAAGGTAGGCAAATAAACAAAGACAAGCACCACAAAGGCAAGAATAACGAGAAGCAGAAGTGGGCAAAGAAAACCAAGTTTCTCACAAAAAAGGTGTATGGGGTTGGAGGCCGAGAAGAATAAAAGACCCAATATATTCAAATAATATAGCCACATAAGGTAAGTAGTGTTAGGTTAAGTAATGGATCAAGTAAAGTCCAACATTAGACAAATGGGCTACCAAGTGGTTTATCTCTAATTTGGCTATCCAAACAAGTGAGTTGGGCCATGAGCAACACTAAGAGATTTAGGTTGCTTCAAATGGTCCAATTAACCTTAGGATCAGGTCATTTCGATTGTGATGCTAAATTTACCATTCAGTCATTGATGTTAGACTACATTTCATTAGAGTATTGTATCACAAGAGATAGTAAGACTTGAAAAAGTCCATACACAATATAACCCTTCAGACATGGGTACGAAAGTATTGCCACTGGTAAAGTTTAGAAGCTGCAAGGGCCTTCTAAATATTGGTACAAGTAAATGATTTCCAATTTTATTGGTTCTCCTTTAGAAGTGTCACCAATGAGAGATGTTTTCCTTGCAGATCCTTTGACACCAAGATGGAGGTTGTTGGACAAATTGTTGTTGAACAACCTCTCAAACTATGATGTTAGTTCGGTTTTAATTTTCAGTCGGCTCGGCCAAATGACTGCACAGTAAATTTAACACCACAATAGAAATGACCCAACCCAAAGGTTATGTAGGCCACTTGAAGTAACCTATATTTCTTAGTATTGTTCATGGCCCAATTCACTTGCTTGGATGGCCAAATTAGAGATAGACCACTTAGTAGCCCATTTGTCTAATATTGGGCCTTACTTGATCTATTACTTAACACTACTTATCTTTTATAGCCATATTACTTGAATATATTGGGTCTTCTCTTCTTCTCGGCCTCCAACCCCGTACGCTCTTTGTGAGAAACATGGTTTTCTTCTCTGTCCACGTCTGCTTCTCGTTATTCTTGCCTTTGTGGTGATTGCCTTTGTTTATTTGCCTACCTTTGTAGTTTCCTAAGTGGCTATTCTCTTGGCAACCTTAAGTGGGAAAATTTGGAATTGTCTTGGGTCGGTTATGTGGTTGTGGTGTTGGAAGAAGGAAGAAATTGAGCCTGGGTAAACATCAGGGTGGTCAATTATTTATTCACATCAACAATAACACGATGACGTAAAACTTACTCAACATGTAACACGGGAAGAATCCCAAGGGCTTGGTTCAATAGTTAGCCGACTATCAACTTCAACTTCAACTTCAACTTCCCGACACAAATTCCTTACCCACCCTCTCCAATCTCTAGTTAAGTTAGCCATTATTGAAGAAAGAAAAAAAATCGATGCAGGGGGGCTAGAAAATTAATGCAATCCCCAAATCATTGAACATTAAAGGTGAACATTTAACCTTCAATAAACAAGAAAAAGAAAAGAAGACAGACAAGGCGACTCATAGTCTGACTACAAAACAAGCAAGAGAAAATTTATAATCAATGAGAAACTAGACACTGAATATACTTGCGAAAGAAATACTGAAAAGATACTGAAGAACTTGTACTTCTAATCACTTTGTAAATTTCAAAGAGAAAAACGGTACAAAAAACTAAAGGAAAAGATTTTGTACTAGTTTTACACAAACTAATTATAAGATACTCATAATCATGAAAATATCAAAGAGAGAATATAAGGGCAATCTTTCTACATCATTAACATATGCTTCTTGAATGATTCAACATTTCATTCATCGCTGTCAAGAATCACATCCTTAACATCACTAACTTTCCAAAAATTAGCTAAATGCTCAAAATAGATAACTAAATAAAAAGATCTTTCTTAGAAAGAGATGCAGAGTAAAAAAAAAGAAAAAAAAAAGAAAAAGAAAAAAATTACCAGGATTTGATGAGGCGTTCTCTTCTTGGCTGGGAAAACCAAGATACATGAAAGCTGCTGTTCCAATAATCAAGAACAAAACCAAGACCCCCAAATACTTCATAATCTCAGCAAAAGTGCTGTACCCACAAACTATTGTTTTTTTCCTTTCTTGAAAATCTTAACAAGCCCCCAAAATATACAAAATCCAGAACAATAATGCAACCCTTTAAAGAAAAACTCAACCCATTGTGAAATTTCTTCCAATGGAGCAGCCTGTGGTCACCGACCTTAGATTTTGAACTCCAAAAGTGGACCAGAAAATCAGAGAAGATATGGAGAAGAATGCCTGCAAGCCCATTTCCATATATAATAGAATAAGTAAATAATATAATACTATAATAATAACTATTTTTCACATAAAAAAATTATATTAGGAGGTAGTGAGTCATCAAGAAGGCCATGTGGGTTTCATTCTTCTCCATCGCTGCGGTCTGTGAAGTTGAGGTTAATGTGGCAGTAAATTGGGTGAGTGAAGTTATTGCACCTTTTTTTGTTTTTTTGTTGCAGAAAACAGCACTGGGGAATAAATGAAGCGAATTGAATGCTTACAGAGTGGTGAAATTCGAGCCTTGCAGGGTTCAAGATTGCCGTTTGTACACGAAAGCTCTCGTCCCTGAATTTTTTTAAAATTGGAGGGAAATTTAGGACTGAATTAGCGTTGTTTTGGGTCTTAACCTTTAGGTTTTTGGTCTTCAAATTGATTTTTTAGACAGTATCAAATTAAGCAAAAACTTTGTCTAGTACAATCACATTATGTATCAAATATGCAATTAGAGTCTCGATTCAACGCAAATAAAAATTGTAGTATGATTATAATCACAACCATTTCCAAGTGAGTTGACTTATTTGGAGCATGGAAGGGGCCGTAATCTCTTACACAGTATTAAAATTTCAAGTGGATTTCAATGAGTTTTTGTCATTGATGGAAAAGGTCAAGGGGAGAGAGCTTCAAATGTTATGCAGAAGTTTATTGAGGTCCTTATGGACTGTGCACTCAGGGAAATAATCCTTTCTAGGTTTGATCTAGAATAATGCTGGAGAAAGAGGGCATAAAAAGTGGGAAGAAAGGGTGAGTTGACAGCTATCATTGAGTGTTTTTATGTGCTTTTTTTCCAAAATTGTCAAGTATTGTCTTGGAAATAATTTTCTGTTATTGACTCTCACTTAGCCCTTGTTTGATCCTTAATATTTTCTAAATACATTTTTTTATTTTTTCTTTTTAACCACATAATCTTCAATAAAATAATTTTATCTGCAATTCTAAATTTTTTTTTTATTTTTTAACCACGTATTCTCCATCAATCTACTATTTTGAAATACATTCTACACAAAAAATGAGCCTCAAACGGGCCGCCCTTAGAAGTGCGATCATGGGGGATATTTTTGGATACTTTCATAGATGTGGAAATTGCATATCTTAATAGATTAAAAATCTCCATTTCATAAATAAGATGTCATGTTTAATATTTCACAAATCAAAAAAAAAAATTAATTAATATATTTAAAAATTAATCTAATAAATAATAATTTCAAACCTTAATTATTCTCAAAATCCTAATTATTCTCCACTTTCATTTCCCCTACCCCGATTCTCTCTCTCACGTCTCTCTCTCTCTCAACTGCCCGACGATGGAGAATCGACGATAGAGAGCTGTTCCGTTGCAGCGTCACCAACCAATGGAGGAGCTGCTACGTTGCAGCGTCGACGAACTGGTGCGATCTCAGGAGATCTTACAATCGGAGGAACTACCCATCGCGATCTGTGGTGGTTGGGGTGGTGTGTGTGTGTGTGTGTGCGTGGGTGTGGTGTGGTGTGGTGTGGTGTGGTGGTTTGTGCGTCGGCGGTGGCGTGGAGCTGCGATGGTTGTGTGAGACGACGGAGACGATGTGTGGTGATATGTGACGATGGTGTGGCGATCTGTGCATATCTCACTCACCTCTCTCGTCGCCAATCAATCTGCGATCAAAATAGATAAATAAATAAAAAGATCTTTCTTAGAAAGAGATGCAAAAAAAAAAAAAAAAAAAAAAAAAGAAAAAGAAAAAAATTACCAGGATTTGATGAGGCGTTCTCTTCTTGGCTGGGAAAACCAAGATACATGAAAGCTGCTGTTCCAATAATCAAGAACAAAACCAAGACCCCCAAATACTTCATAATCTCAGCAAAAGTGCTGTACCCACAAACTATTGTTTTTTTCCTTTCTTGAAAATCTTAACAAGCCCCCAAAATATACAAAATCCAGAACAATAATGCAACCCTTTAAAGAAAAACTCAACCCATTGTGAAATTTCTTCCAATGGAGCAGCCTGTGGTCACCGACCTTAGATTTTGAACTCCAAAAGTGGACCAGAAAATCAGAGAAGATATGGAGAAGAATGCCTGCAAGCCCATTTCCATATATAATAGAATAAGTAAATAATATAATACTATAATAATAACTATTTTTCACATAAAAAAATTATATTAGGAGGTAGTGAGTCATCAAGAAGGCCATGTGGGTTTCATTCTTCTCCATCGCTGCGGTCTGTGAAGTTGAGGTTAATGTGGCAGTAAATTGGGTGAGTGAAGTTATTGCACCTTTTTTTGTTTTTTTGTTGCAGAAAACAGCACTGGGGAATAAATGAAGCGAATTGAATGCTTACAGAGTGGTGAAATTCGAGCCTTGCAGGGTTCAAGATTGCCGTTTGTACACGAAAGCTCTCGTCCCTGAATTTTTTTAAAATTGGAGGGAAATTTAGGACTGAATTAGCGTTGTTTTGGGTCTTAACCTTTAGGTTTTTGGTCTTCAAATTGATTTTTTAGACAGTATCAAATTAAGCAAAAACTTTGTCTAGTACAATCACATTATGTATCAAATATGCAATTAGAGTCTCGATTCAACGCAAATAAAAATTGTAGTATGATTATAATCACAACCATTTCCAAGTGAGTTGACTTATTTGGAGCATGGAAGGGGCCGTAATCTCTTACACAGTATTAAAATTTCAAGTGGATTTCAATGAGTTTTTGTCATTGATGGAAAAGGTCAAGGGGAGAGAGCTTCAAATGTTATGCAGAAGTTTATTGAGGTCCTTATGGACTGTGCACTCAGGGAAATAATCCTTTCTAGGTTTGATCTAGAATAATGCTGGAGAAAGAGGGCATAAAAAGTGGGAAGAAAGGGTGAGTTGACAGCTATCATTGAGTGTTTTTATGTGCTTTTTTTCCAAAATTGTCAAGTATTGTCTTGGAAATAATTTTCTGTTATTGACTCTCACTTAGCCCTTGTTTGATCCTTAATATTTTCTAAATACATTTTTTTATTTTTTCTTTTTAACCACATAATCTTCAATAAAATAATTTTATCTGCAATTCTAAATTTTTTCTTTATTTTTTAACCACGTATTCTCCATCAATCTACTATTTTAAAATACATTCTACACAAAAAATGAGCCTCAAACGGGCCGCCCTTAGAAGTGCGATCATGGGGGATATTTTTGGATACTTTCATAGATGTGGAAATTGCATATCTTAATAGATTAAAAATCTCCATTTCATAAATAAGATGTCATGTTTAATATTTCACAAATCAAAAAAAAAAATTAATTAATATATTTAAAAATTAATCTAATAAATAATAATTTCAAACCTTAATTATTCTCAAAATCCTAATTATTCTCCACTTTCATTTCCCCTACCCCGATTTTCTCTCTCACGTCTCTCTCTCTCTCAACTGCCCGACGATGGAGAATCGACGATAGAGAGCTGTTCCGTTGCAGCGTCACCAACCAATGGAGGAGCTGCTACGTTGCAGCGTCGACGAACTGGTGCGATCTCAGGAGATCTTACAATCGGAGGAACTACCCATCGCGATCTGTGGTGGTTGGGGTGGTGTGTGTGTGTGTGTGTGTGCGTGGGTGTGGTGGTTTGTGCGTCGGCGGTGGCGTGGAGCTGCGATGGTTGTGTGAGACGACGGAGACGATGTGTGGTGATATGTGACGATGGTGTGGCGATCTGTGCATATCTCACTCACCTCTCTCGTCGCCAATCAATCTGCGACTATCGTGGATCTGTGGTGTTGGTGTGTGACAGCGACGGTGGTGGCGATGATTTGGGGTGGTTGTGGTGGTGAGATTTTTGTTAGGTCTGGCGACGGAGTGTATTGTTTAAGGTGGTGCGCGGTTCTGCTAATGGATGCGGTGGTTGTGGAAATGGGTGACTGTGACTCCAATTATGACTCAAAAATTGAATTCGAGACCTGAAAATTGTGACTGTGACTCCAACAATTAATTAAATTATGAGCAAAAAATTAATCGTGATTAATTAATCAAATAATTTGCAATGAGAAAATGAGTTGTGACCAATTTGGGAGTCACAGTTGGTCGTAGAGGTGGTTGTGGTAGTCATGGCGGTGGTCGAGGCGTTTTGGTTGATTTGTGAATCACAATTAGATACGTGACCTAAAAATTGTGACTGTGACTCATAATTGAATACGTGACTTGAAAATTGTGACTGTGAATCGTAAGTGTTGGTGATGGTCACAAATTATTTGGTTGACTGTGACCATTAATTTGGTTAATTTATGATCAATAAATAATATGTTATCAATAAAAAATAAATTGGGATCGAAAAATAATGTGTGAACTAAAAAATTATTAATTTGTGACTTATAATTTTACAATTTGTGACTGTATAAGAAGTTGTGACTTGTAATATTTGTGATTTGTGACCAATAAATAAATTATGACTTATATATTGTTTGATTTTTTGTCGATGAACAAACTGTGACTATAAATTTTTTGAATTGTAATTGTAAAATAATTTGTAACATAAAATTTCGGATTTGTGACAAAAAATAATAAGTGACGAATTAAATCGTTAATTTGTGACCAAATTATATAAATTTGTGGTTTCAATATATTTAATTACTAAAATAATTAATTAATTAATTAATTAATTAAATGATAAATAATTTTTAATAAAAATCTGATTTTTGAAATTTGAAACTTGTTTTCTTATTTTTG